TCAGTGGTTTAGTGAACGCATCTGCCACTTGGTCAGCTGAAGAGATGAACCAGACTTCAAGAGCACCAATGGTTACCTTCTCTCGCACAAAGTGGAAGTCTACTTCGATATGCTTGGTGCGAGCATGAAACACGGGATTTGCTGTGAGGTACGTCGCGCCGAGGTTGTCACACCACAAAACTGGAGCTCGAGGTTGAGGAACTCACAACTCTTTCAACATTGACTGTACCCACGTTGCCTCTGTTGTACCATTCGCCAATGCCTTATACTCTCCTTCGGTTGACGATCGCGAGCCTGTCAGCTGTTTTCGTGCACTCCACGAAATGAGGTTGGGTCCGAAGAACACAGCAAACCCACCCGTCGAATGTCTGTCGTCCCCACAACCGGCCCAATCAGCATCTATAAACACACTTAGCAAAGTCGAAGATGACCGCCGAACAGTCAAACCTGTAGCTACTGTACCCTTTACAAAGCGAAGGATGCGCTTGATCGCTTCCCAGTGAAGATCAGTGGGACATGATAGGAATTGGCAGACCTTGTTTACTGCAAACGACAGGTCCGGTCGTGTCAAGGTTAGGTACTAAAGGGCTCCCACCGTGCTCCTATATCTGAATGCTTCATCCTCATTCAGTCGGTGTCCGGTGTCTCTGCCGAGCTTCTCATGAGTACAATAGGTGTTGAGACTGCTTTACAATTGGCCATGTCGGTACGTTGTAGCAAATCAAGAGCGTACTTCTTCTGTATGAGAGTCATTCCCCCAGAATTGGGAAGCACTTCAATACCGAGAAAATAGCGAAGGGCGCCAAGATCCTTGACAGGGAATGTGGTAGAGAGTTGACGAAGAAGACGATCCAGTGCTGATGAAGAGGAGCTGACAATGACAATGACATCAACATACACGAGCATATAAATAGTAACACCACCATGGGCAATGATGAACAAGGAAGTGTCAGCTGCTGACGAGTGAAAGCCCAACTGCTGAAGACGATCGCTGAGGCGACCATACCAGGCCCTAGGTGACTGTTTTAAGCCATATAATGCTTTGTGCAACTTGCAGACATAATCAGGATGAACATTATCATGGAAGCCGGGAGGCTGCTGCGTATAGGCTTCTTCAGTCAGGATACCATGCAAGAAAGCATTGCTAATGTCCAGTTGACGCAGGTGCCATCCATGAGAAACAGCCAGAGAAAGCACAAGACGCACCGTGGCTGGTTTGACGACAGGAGAAAACGTATCCGTGTAATCGATACCATGCTGCTGAGTAAACCCGCGAGCAACGAGGCGAGCTTTGAATTTGTCCAAGGAGCCATCAGACTTGTGCTTCACTTTAAATACCCACTTACAACTGATGATGTTCTTGCCAGCAGGACGAGGAACAAGGGTCCAAGTGTTGTTCTGTTGAAGAGCAGAAAACTCATCCTCCATAGCAGACCGCCATTGCGTATCAGCGAGGGCGAGGCGATAGGACCGGGGCTCAGCATGGAAGGCGCGTCGACGAGGGTCATAGCGCACGGTGCCGTCAGATGGTACCAACTTCTGGACAATGTTTTCCCGGAGCCGTGTTGTCATCGGATGGGGCGCAGGCGCCCGTTGAGCGACGACAGGAGGCGAGGACGGTTCTGCAAAGACCGGCTCATGGGCCGGGGTTGCTGAAGGAGTTGCTGAAGCAGGAGAGGCAAGCTCCGCAGGGGAGGCCGTAGCAGGAGACCGTGGGCTGGGGCTATTAGCCTCAGGCTCAGTCGGGCCCATGCACGACGTCGATCCGGAGGGCGGCGATGGTGCAGTACCTGCAGGTGAAGGAGAGCTGCACGAGGAGTCAGTGAGAAAGGAAATATCATATCGTCTCATGTGATCATCCACTACAGCCGGCTCGGTGATAGGAAAAATTGATGGAGGAGTGGGAAGAAGTGGTTCGGTTGGTGGTGATTGTGGTGGAGCAGTGGCAAATGGAAACACATGTTCGTCGAATGCAACATCACGTGAGATGTAAATATGCCCACTGGTTCGATCGAGGCACTTATACCCTTTGTGCATGGAATTATATCCGAGAAAAACACACTGTCGGGAGCGAAACTCAAGTTTCCTGTTGTTGTATGGCCGAAGGTTCGGCCAACAAGCACATCCGAACGCACGGAGGAAAGTATAATCTGGTTGCTTGTTCAGAAGACAAGAAATAGCGGTGGAATTTTTGAGGACACGTGTTGGCATACGGTTGATAAGATAGCATGCAGTGATAAAAGCCTCATCCCAAAAACGAACAAGAAGCGAGGAGTGAGCAAGAAGGGCGAGGCCTGTTTCAACTATATGGCGATGTTTGCGCTCGGCGATGCCATTTTGCTGTGAAGTATGTGGGCAAGAGACACGGTTCATGATGCCCTCCCGAGCAAAATAACGATTGAGACGGTGATACTCGCCGCCCCAATCAGATTGGACAACTTTTATCTTAGTATCAAGCATGCGTTTGACATGTTTCTGAAAGGTGTAGAAAGCTTGTTCCACATCAGACTTGCGTTTTAAAAGGTAAATCCAAGTAAAACGACTGAAATCCAAAAAACTCAGATAATACTTAAAACCACCAACAGATGTGATGGCCGGATCCCAAACATCCGAGTGAATAAGCTCAAGAGGCGTATGAGTAACATGATTGGAATTATAAAAGGGTAACCGATGTATCTTTGCTCGTTGGCAAGAATCACACACACTAGACTCAATAGATGGTGCACAAGCAAATTTATTTGATCTAAGTACTAACTCAACGACATTCTTTGCTGGATGACCTAATCTGCGATGCCAAAGGTCCGAAGAGAGCTTGCCACCAGCAAGAGCTCGACGATTATTGGACGAAACGAACGAAGACTGGAGGCTTGGCACCGGGTAAAGACCATTGCGGCATCTACCGCGAAGAAGAACCCGCTTCGTTGCTCGGTCCTTAAGATAAAACACATGAGGATGAAATTCAGCAAAGGCATCATTGTCATAAACCAATCGATAAACAGAGAGCAGATGTTTATTAACATCGGCAACATGCAGGATATTGCGGAGATGAATTGGTTTAGATGAGCCAGATATAGATGAATGACGAACATGTGAGATAGACAAACCTGCTCCGTTCGCGATGTGCACCTTGTCCTTGCCGCCGTAGCGCTCGTGGATGGCGAGGCGATCAAGATCGCTCGTCAGGTGATCGGTCGCCCCCGTGTCTACGTACCAGTCGGTGTCGACGATGTAGGAGCCCGTGTTGGCAGCGTTGCCGGAGCGCTCTCACTAATCTTCAGGATGGAACGCATGGTTGAAGCGGTTGCGGCAGTGGAGCACATCATGACTAAACTTGCTGTAGACCTGACACTTCAGGTTGTTGCGGCCATTGTTATGGCCACGTCCACCGCGGCCACGATTGCCACTGTTGCTGTTGTTGCCGCCCTGTCCACCCTGGTTGCCACGGCCAGCACCGCGACCATCAGAATTGCAGGTGGCTGCGTTGGCCGAGGAGTGGATCTCGCCGACAGCGGCCTGCTGCTTGTGGCGGAGTTCGGCGCTGAGGAGGAGCGCGTAGAAGCTGCTGAGGCTGATGGAGTCGTCGCGCGCCATGACCAATGCGACCAATGGCTCGAACTCGGGACCTAGTCCGGCGAGTATGTAGCCAAGCACCTCTTCGTTGTTGAGTGGCTTGCCGATGGACGCCATGGCGTCGGCGAAGCCCCGCATCTTGCGGTAGTACTCCGAGGCGGTGAGGTCCTTCTTGTTCAGATTGGAGAGCTGGTAGCGCAGCTGCATGATGCAGGCATGATTCTGTGAGGCAAACATGTCATGGAGAGAGGTCCAGACCTGTTCAGACGTGCGAAGCTGGGTCATCTGCTCAAGGATGTCCTCCGTCATGGAGCTGAGGAGAGCAATCATCACCAGCTGGTCCTGCTGGAACCACCAAAGGAACGCCGGATTGGCCACCTCCTCGGCTGCATCACCGATGCCCTCCATGATGGTCTGTGGTGGCGCCATCTCGGAGCCGAGGACGTAGCCGAACAGACCGTTTGAAGCAAGAGCAGGGACAGTCTGGGTCTTCCATAGCAGGAAGTTGTCTCTTGTGAGACGCAGGGTGATGAGGTTTCCAATCGAAGTGATCGTGGGCGCAGCAGAGGAGCTGGAACTGGTGGCGAGGGTGCCGGCGGCAGCCATGGTAAGGGCGTCGGCAGTGTTGGAGAGGAGGTTAGGGGAGGTGCCGGCCATGGTGGGAGGAGATGGGATCTTGTTGCTCTGTATACCAAGTCAAAAAGGATTGTTTGCCGTGAACTACCCCGTAGGGCTGGCCATGTATTTATATTCAGGCGATAAGCATCGCATGGAGTTGTTACAACTAAAGTACAGAATCGTAACTACAAGATATACATGGCGTTCTATACAAGGAAAAACACCAATACGGTTAGTCTGAACTAACGTAATCTACATGGTTGTTTAACAATGCATCACTACGCAGGTCGGAGCTCTGGAATTTCATGCGTCAATTGAAGCTTGTGTGCAACATGAGGGCTCAAAAACAACCCATGGTTCGCAGAATACCTACTACGCGTTGGAAATGGAATCGAGGAGACAAATGATGATGGTGAAATACTTCTACCTACAAGTATATGTGTGCCAAATAAGACGGATGATACCGGCCTGGATAGACTTATTGACAGTACATACCAAACGGGAAATGCTTACCTAAAAGATCCAAAGTACATCACGTCAAGAGCAATTTTATCCACAAGGAATGACTGCGTAGACAAGATCAACCTAAAAAGGATTGATCGCTTCCAGGGGGAGGAGATGGTGTACCACAACTTCGATTCTGTAGAAGACGACCGACATAACTACTATCAACCAGAATTCCTAAACACCCTAACCCCAAATGGACTGCCTCCACATATGCCGAAGCTAATTTTTTTTCCAATAATACTACTCAGGAACATCGACCCTGCTAATGGGCTCTGCAACGGCACCAGACTAGTCGTACGTGGATTTCAGAAAAATGCAATTGATGCAGAGATTGTGGTAGGGCAGCACTCTGGAGTGCGAGTTTTCTTGCCTCGGATACCATTATGCCCATCTGACAACAACATGTTCCTGTTCAGTTTCAAGAGAAAAACAATTTCCAGTCAGACTCAGTTTTGCAATGACAATAAACAAATTACAAGGCTAGACAATACCAACTGTCGGTGTCTACCTGCCTGAGCCTGTTTTCTCACATGGTTAATTATATGTCACGCTTTCTATAGAAATCGCGACATCAAACATAAAGGTACTAACAGGTACACATGATGTGAACAAGGAGACAAACAAGAAGAAAAATAAAGGCGACACATACACAAAGGAGAAGAAGAAAAGGAAGAACAAGATCAGTACAAACAATACATACACAAAGAATATTGTCTACACAAAAGTCTTGACCAAATATGTAATGCAATTTTTCAATTTTGTGTTTATAAATTCAGTTTCAACTTAGTATGTTCATTCATGACCAACTTAATAATTTGTATTACACATTGAATCTCTAATTTTCTAACCTTAAAATTACTTTTTGCATGCTTCAGGACAATCAAGCTGTCAACTTCGGAGTTAGAATTCAGAACTACTTGATCGTCTTGAAGGAGGATGTCTTCATGTTCTGAACCACTAACTTATTCATTGATATTTCTTTATATAATATGTCCAATAACTTATCAATTTTTATTCAAATATTTGATCACTTTGATGATCTCTATTATGGCTGTACAATCTATATATGTAAATTTACCAACAATGAGTAGCTAAGGTGAAATTGAGACTTACCAGTCAATATAGAGACATATTTCTAGCCTTGGAGCTGATGTTGTTGCACTGATTTTTCTAAACATCGCTTTATCTAAGTCCAAGAAACCTGAAAAATATCTGACACATTGTAAGAAAATACTATCAATTTCACATTGTAAGAAAATACCTGACAATTTCATAATGGATTGAAACCCTGCATAGTGTAGCGTTGCATATTTTTGAGGAAATTGTGATGATTTGTTTCGTGAGGATTAAGATGCTTGAACATGTAAGCAGTGTACTAGCGGCCAATAGATATATTTCTCATGCTGAGTACGTGCTATCAATTGTGCCAAACACATTATTTAGTAACTAATCAAAAAGTGTCAAAAGCTAGCTACCAAAGCAAATCTGAATCTGCTAACTATGCTACTACTGCCACAACTAACCAAGGTTGGAGCATAAGGAAGAAGCTGCTCCTCCACCAACCGCATACAGGGACGTGGATTTTTGGAGCACGTGCACCCAGGCCCTCCTATCCTAACTCTTCAATATTGCTTTAAGATCCGTACGACACAACTAAGTTTCTATATGAAATTTTCTCTTTTTTGCTTTTCCCACATAGAACATATCTTAAAGTTCAAACCTATGCAGGATGGCAAATCTTTCTAACTAGAATCTAGGATAAATCTTTCAGAATTTTTTGTCCGACATAAATATTAAAAATATGACTTTTTAATCAAACAAAACGTATTTTGTATATTTATGTTTGACAAAAAAATCTGTACGATTTATCCTAGATTCTACTCAGAAAGCTTTGTCACGCTGCATAGGTTTGAACTTCAAGATATATTCAATGTGGGAGAAACAAAAAAGAGAAATATATTTGCACGAATCTTAAAGCAAAAAATGGATGGCTAGATAGAGAGGGCCTGGGTGCATATGCTCTAATATATATTTTCGCCGCATACAGGGGGTGACGGGGTGGGACTGAAGGAGATTGGGAGATCCGGAGAGGAAGGAAAGAGAGAAGGGAAATGGCACGCATTACCTTTGCAATATTGGAGGCGACGTCACGGAAGCAGGCGAAGGCAGAGGGCAGCCAGGAAGGGCGGAGAATGAAGAGGCAAGCGGCGGCTGTCGGGACGCTTGCCGGGATGGCAGCAAGGTGGCGGCGCACATGCGAGGTCGGCCAGGAGGACGAGCTATGCAAAGATCTGGAAGGAGGAAGCCGGTGCTATTCTCCATCGAGAAACGAAGGTTGCAGTATCACACCCCAGCGGCAGCGAGCCCCAGCGTCGGACGGCGGCGGCGGCGGGATAGCCCTAGACAAGTCTGCTGCATGTGGTTTTTTAGGGGTATGCTGCGTGTGGTGCTGTGGAAGTGAGGAGGTGCAAGAGGAAGTGCTCGTGGGCTGGAATGGCCAGATGGATTCAGTTTGGCCTTTTCATTTTCTCCACTCACTATTGAAACATACCGGGCAGACCAAAGTGGGCCTACCAAATGTATATATGGCATCGAGTAATTTTTTTTCTTTGTTTTCCAAAAAGAAGTAATTCCCTGGACGCTGATATTTGACTCTAGGAGCATATTCTCTATAATGAACAGGAAAATCAAAATAAATTTTAAAAATTCTAAATTTTTACTACATGTTCATATTAGTGTAGCAAGCGTGCTTGACAATTTTCATGCCATATGGGATAATAGTGCTTCGCCGGTGAAAAAAATAAAATTAAGTGTAACATTTGGCGTTTGACTTTTTTCCCCACAAGTCAACATGCTTAAGTTTTCCCCTGTAAGTTTGCATGTACCATTTGGGTGTGACAATGAACCTATCTATTTTTTCATATTTTTATATTTGTAGATTTTATTTTTTGGCAGGCTAGATCATGTGCTAACTAGAGCCAGAATGAATTTTCGGAATTCCCCAGCTACTTATAGTTATCGGATGAAAGTGCAGAGCTGAAAAACATACTAACAAACAATGTTAGGGAGACTTTTACTGAAAAGTGATAGTCGAGGACCCATGTTCACTGAAGTTGGTTAAAATTGAATATAATAAGTGTTGAAAAGGACCGAGTACTATTAAATTAATCGCACGTTGCAACGCATGGGCATTTGTACTAGTAATATATAAAAGGAGGCCCATGGCACTCGTGGGGGGGTATAAGGTTGGAAAGTTGATACACCTGAGCCACCATACGCGCGTAGTCGCTGATGCCCCGAGGCAAACCCTACCGGGCAAGTGTACTGCGCACCACCACATTCATTCCAACATCAATCCACCAAAGTAGGAGTAGGGTCTTACGCCTCGCGGCGGCCCGAACCTGGGTAAATTGCTCGTGTGCTCTTCGTCGCACTGCCGTGCACTAGGCTGCTCTTTGTGCAACGCGTCGTCCCCCTGCCGAACAAGAAAGGGGCCACCCGGTCCCATAGGTGGCCACGGACATCCCGCGACATCTCGTTGCTCAAGGTTACACACAAGTGGAAGGAATTGACTTTGATGAAACCTTTGCTCCCGTGGCTAGGCTTGAAGTCATTCGTATACTGCTAGCTTGTGCTAACCACAACAACATTCTTCTGTACCAAATGGACGTGAAGAGTGGCTTCCTCAACGACAAAATTGAAGAAGAAGTATATGTTGCCCAACCTCCTGGTTTTGAAGATCCAAAGCATCCTGAAATGGTATACAAGCTCAACAAGGCACTTTATGGCCTCAAACAAGCATCCCGTGCTTGGTATGACACACTTAAGGACTTCCTGAAGAGCAAAGGTTTCAAACCTGGTTCTCTAGATCCCACTCTCTTCATGAAGACATATGATGGGGAATTATTTGTGTGCCAAATCTATGTGGATGACATCATTTTCGGCTACACCAATAAGAGATACAGTGATGAGTTTGGGCATATGATGTGTGACGCCCCCGATTCAATTGTACACTAATCATACACGCAAATGTGCATGATCAAGATCAGGGCCTCACGGAAAGATATCACAACATAACTCTAGACACAAATTAAAATAATATAAGCTTTATATTACAAGCCAGGGGCCTCGAGGGCTCGAATACACAAGAGTCAGCGGAAGCAACAATATCTGAGTACATACATGAGTTAAACAAGTTTGCCTTAAGAAGGCTAGTGCAAAAGCAACATCGATCGAAAAGGCAAGGCCTCCTGCCTGGGAGCCTCCTAACTACTCCTGGTCGTCAGCGACCTGCACGTAGTAGTAAGCACCCTCGGGGTAGTAGTAGTAGTAGTCATCGGTGGGGGCAGCGGTCTCAGGGGCTCCATCATCTGGTTGCATCAAACGGATATGGGGGGAAAAGAAAGCAAAGCAAACATGAGTATTCATCCGAAGTACTCAGCAAGCAAGGATCTACACTGCATATGCAACATTATCAAAGGAAGGCTGTATATGTGGACTGGGCTGCAGAAATGCCAGAATAGAGGGGAGAGCCTAGTCCTATCAAAGACTAGCATCTTCAGCATCTTCAGAGGTCTTGCAGCATTAGAAGATGCAGATTAGCATAATGTAAAGTAGTAGTAGTAGTAGTAGTAGTAGTAGTAGTGTCATCATCCTCGCCCAGAGATCCTTTCTCGACTCCCTAGGAGAAAGCAATCCCAGAGCCATACTATCCAGTTATCACCTCAAGTATCCAGTTCTAGTTGTATCGATCAGGATACAACTCCGAGTGTCTGTTACCGTAGGACAAGCTATCAATAGATGTTTTCTTCCCTGCAGTGGTGCACCAACTTACCCACCACGCTCGATTAACTCCGTCCAGACACACTTTACTGGGTCATGCCCGACCTCGGCCAAACGATACGCCACAACCCGACCAAGGCTTAATAGAGAGGTCAGCATGCCGGACTAAACCTATGCCCCCAGGGGTCTTGGGCCATCGCCCCGCGAACTCTTGCATGTTGCATGGGCGGCCGGTGAGTAGAACTAGCCTCCCTTATACAACGCGAGGCGTTCCAGTCCAACCCGGCGTGCGTCGCTCAGTCGCATGACGTTTATTAAGCTTCGGCTGATGCATACGACGCAGAACGCCCATACTATGTCCACGTGATGGTTAGTGCTATCAGGCCAGAGGCCCCTCGGATCAAATATCCAAATCATAGTGGATTAGGAACGTGCGGTAACAAGTAGAGACTCACGATCGATGTGACCCTGTCTCCCCGTCTCGAGGACTCGCGGTAAGGGCTAAGAATGTCCAGTCACGCCTCGTAATTATCTCGCGGGCACCTTCTAGGTCAACCTGACTCCACATCACTCGCAATTCAGCTCGCGCGGGTACCCCTTGGGGCCGATCCGTCTTTAGTAACATGGTTCAGTGTAAAGTCATAGTAACCATAGTAACCATGTGTCTAGTACCAAGGGGAACCCTGAGAAATCACCCTCGATGGAATTCCACCTGATGTTATCGTCAAGGTGAACAAAGGAGGAATCACCCTCGAGGTCCACTCTTGAGGAGTTGCACGACAGTGTCGTTATCGGAAGTCGAGAAGGAGGAATCACCCTCGATGACCATAATCGATGAACTAACCTACAAGGTTAACATCAGAAGTGCTAATGAGGTATCACCCTCGGCACTCCATAGTAACCCAGTAGTGTCGAGCAACTAAGGGGAAAGTGATGTGCGGTGCTGGGGCCTGGTCTTCGATCTCGTTGATCGGGTCTTCTGATAATCCAGCGGGGCAGTCGGGACAAAGTGGGGGTCTCTGATGGGTCTCTACCCAGCCTATACTAAACAGTTTAGGATAAGCGGGTAGGTAACAACAGCAGGTTACAATAAACAGGCTATGCAACAGAAATAGGATAATAGTAATAGCAGCAACTTCTAATGCAAGTATAAGAGAGAGAAGAATAGGCGATATCGGTATGCTCAAAAGGGGGGCTTGCCTCATTGCTCGACGGCAAAGGCAGGTTCCTCAGCTATGAAGTCGATCACAAGGGCAACATCAGTCTCGGGGTATACCGGAGAGAAGAGAGGGAGAAATAGTAAATATAAAGCACACAAATACATTACTAGGTATGACAAGACAAAAAGCAGAACTAGTGTCGACCTAACGTAGTGCTGCACGAAATAGGTGAAGGGGGAAAACAACCGGGAATCATTTTTCATGTTCTATGTTCGAAGGGGAAATATTCCATGTTCAAATAGTTAGAGTTATCTAATAGGTAAATGGATAGCGTATTCGGATTCGTTGGATTTTTCTGAGCAACTTTCATATATAAAAAATTTCATCTTACTTACGATTTATTTTATATGATTTTTGCAAATTTAAAACATATTCTGAAATTATTTTAATTAACTACATTCATCAGAAAATGAAATATGACCTCATCCTCGCATCAGCCCTACGTCAGCGGTCAACTAACCAGTTGACTAGTCAACTGGGCCCATGAGGGGCCCACTGGCAGTGACTAGGCATTGCCCAATCAGCATCTGACTAGGTCAACAGGACCCATGGGCCCAATGGCAGCGGCTGTGGGGGGGGGGGGTCCACATGGACAGCCATGTCAGCAACGCCGGAAATGGTGCCGGAGTTGTCTCCGACGACCATATTCAACAGCGGCGCGCTCGGGAACGGCCGGAAATCGGCTACAAGGGGTCGTTCGGCCCGCGCGTAAGCTCGTTCCAGTGAGCGTTGAGCCGCGCATCCAACGATGCTGATGGGAGGGCTCGGGGGCGGCCAGAGCATCACTGGCGACGAGCAAGGCAGAGGCGGTGTTCGGTGGCGCAAGGATAAGTGGGTTGTGGGGGCTCTTTCGGCGCGGAATCTGGTGCATTCGAACGCGGGCATCGCACCGCGTCGAACGGTGGCAAAGGTGGTCATTGAGACGGCCCGCAGCGTCGGCTGCAAAGTCTATCGACAGTGGCCAGAGCTCGAGCACGTGTGGACGCTAACTACAGTGCACGAGGAGGAGAAGGGAGAGGGGGGTCGAAGCGGCTGCTCACCCGGCCCTGCAGGTGTGCACAAGTGGGCTCGAGGAAGGCTTGTCGGAATCAGATTCGTTGGCGAGGTCGACGACGCCCGAGGAGGAAGAAGAAGGTCGGCCCGGCGATGGAGGGGCTTCCGGCTCCTGCTCGTGGGCGTGGAGGACGATGCTGATGATCGTGAAACTCCGGGACGTGCTGAAGAGGGTTGGGAGCAGCGGTCGCCGTGGTGGGCGCCGGTGGGTGGCGACATGGGGTGCTTGGTGGTGGGGTCTGGTGGGGAGTGAGAGAGAGGAGGACA